GACTTGTTAGGGTTCATTTTTAATCGATGACTCCGCATGAGATCGAACATTGTTCTCAAGTTTTTAATATGGTCATCTTTGTTGTGGCTCTTGATGACCAAATCATCAACATAACATTCGACAGTTTTTCGAAGATGGTCCTAAAAAATCTTCGTCATGGCTCGATGATAGGTAGCACCTGCATTCTTCAAATCGAAGGGCATAACTATATAGCAGAATTTACCAAGCGACATTATGAATGACGTATGTTTTTCATCATCCGGATACATTTTGATTTGGTTGTATCCTAAGAATCCATCCATGAATAATATTCTCTCAAACCCACACGTGTTGTTGATGATAACATCATTGATAGGAAGAGGAAAACCATCTTTTAGGCAGGAGGTGTTCAGATCTCTGAAGTCAATGCAGATTCTGATTTTTCCATTCTTTTTAAGGATCGGGGCAATATTTTCCACCTAATTCGGATGTTGCTCTTCTCTGATGAAACCCAAGTTGATTAGCTTTTTGACTTTAGCTTCAATCACCTCCATAATCTGTGGGGAAAACTTATTTGCTACTTGACATGTTTGACATCCGGTTTGATGTTAAAGTGGTGCATCACCACATTCAGGTTGAGTCCTGGTATATCTTCATAGTTCCAGGAAAAGATGTTAATGTACTCCCTTATTAGGAAAATCAACTCCTCCTTTTCTTCTGGTGGGAGGCTATCACTCATGAATATGGGCTTTGCATTTGCTTCGTCACCCATGTTGATTTGAGCCACCTTATCCTCAGTAGGAGGTTCTCTTTGCTCGAATCTATCACCATGCTGGATGTTCAAGTGATGGATCCAAGGATCTTTCTATGTTGGTAATTGATCATCTTCTTCCATTGTAGCAGGATCGACAATAGCCATGTTTGACATTAAGCCTTTTAACATCTCCCTAAGGCTAACATCAGAATCCCATTCTGAAGAATCTGATGAATGTGCATCCCCGTTAGGATTGGCCAATTGGTTATTAACCTGCCAACATCATTCGTCAGAGGACGAAGAAGTATAGCCTAGACCTCTTCTATGTCCGTAATAATTTCGTAATAATTGTCAGGCTTCCCTTTTGGTACATAGGCAGGCCGGGGTGGAACGTGAGGACCTTGACCAAAGCAAAGACATTCCTCAACGCAAAGTTATATCCCTATTTCTTCATGTAATATCGTGCTTGTGGACTATATCTGAATAAATTATGACCAGATTTTTTTATCATCGCTGTCATTCTTCAAGAAGGGATTTGATGGTGGACACAATTGTCCTTTACTGAAGACTATCTCTTTTCCACCCCCTGCCTTGGCAAGAAGGACAAGAGTTGTTCTGGAAGAGTGCCCAAGCTCCTCATACTTTTTGCAATGTGCTGCAGCCCCTAAAATTTAAAAAAATTATGGCCCAGCCACTCCAGATCATGATTAGTCCATATTTGACCTAAAAACTCAATTTACCCCTCTTCTCCTTCTCCTCCTCATCTTCTTCTCCTTCTCCTTCCTCATCCTCCTTCCTCCTTCCTCCCTGGTGATCCTCTAGTCCATCATCGACTCTGCATGGGCTCCACAGGTGATCCTCTTCCTCGTCTCCTTCTCCTTTCTCATTCTCTCCTCCCTCATCCTTCTTCATCCTTTCTCCCCAGCAATCCTCTAGTTTGCCACCAACTTTGCACGGGCTCCACCGATGGTTAGTTAGCCACCGTCGACCACCGGTGAGAGATGATATTGTTCAATCCCATCACTCAATTCCAAATCCAACTCCCTCCAATCTCTACTATAGTAGAGTTTCCCCCTAACTCCTCGCCTGAAGAAATTTATAAAAAATTCGTCTTGTTTTCAAGCCCTATGGAAAAGGACTGTGTGATTATGCATTGTTCATTGAAAGCAACCGGTCTACGTATATATTTAGTCGAGATGTTCCTGGAGTGAGAGACAATTATATCTACTTATATATCTAGCCGAGATGTTGAGTGGATTATTCTTTGTTTAAAATTTTATTATACATAGGCCATTTTTGCTGGTTTGAAAATTATATGTTGATAATTGAGAAATAAAAGCCTACATACAAAAATATTCATTAAAATAATAGATGTATAAATATTCAGTAGATTAATTATTAAGTTTTACCTAATACAAGTGAACTATATCAAATTAACTATTAATGTTTATGTGTTCTATGTTAAGTATAGTGGAGTAAGTGTTAACTTTTTTTTAAATGTTAAGTTTTGTTAATTAACTGTTAAAATTTTCCTATTACATGTGAACTATAGCTGATTAACTGTTAATGTTTAGTTGTTCCATATGAGTATAATTGAGTAAATGTTATCTTTATTCTTTTAAATGTTAAGTTTTGTAAATTAACTGTTTCGTTTTACCTAATATATGTAAACTATATTTGACTAACTATTAATATTTACATAGTTCTTCTTAAATATAATTGTGTAATTGTTAACTTTTGAATAAGACTATATATAATGTAAAATATCAAGTAATTGTTAATATGTCTATTAAAACTCACGAAGTACCTATTAATGTACCTTAACTCTTAAATTGTTAAATTTTATTTTTTTGTTTAATGTTTTTAGTTCTAATAAACTTGTAGTATATATTTTACTAATTTTTTAGTTTTAATGTTGCAAGAAACTTTTGTATAAATCCTAGCTCCAATAAACCCACATAGCCTTTCTTAAAAAACTTCTGAATGCTTGGGTTATTTAAAATCCAATTATGAGTGAGTCCACCCCTTAAGACATGAGCGATCAAAGAGCCCATTAACATCGAAAGAGCTCAACCGCCTTTGTTCTTTCATGTTCTTGCTCATTAACCACAATCATAGTGGTTCATGAATATGTCGTTGTTGTAGTCGGTCTCTGCAATTATACTTTATATGGAACGACTAAAGGTTAATAGGTAATCAGCTATATTTCACATGCACAACACAAAACTTAACATTTAAAAGAATAAAGATAACAGTTACTCAATTATACTTATATAGAACAACTAAACATTAACAGTTAATCGGTTATAGTTCACATGTACTAGGTATAACTTAATAGTTAATTAACAAAACTTAACATTTTAAAGAAAAAATTAACACTTACTCTACTATACTTAACATGGAACAGGTAAACGTTAATAGTTAATTTGCTATAGTTCACTTGTATTAGGTAAAAATTAATAATTAATCTACTGAATAATTTTATACATCCATTATTTCAAATGAATATTTTTTATGTAGTCTTTTATTTCTCAATTATCAACGCATCATGTACAAGCTACATATAATTTTGAAGCCAACAAAATGGTCTACGTACAATAAAATTTTAAACAAAGACTAATCTACTCAACATCTCCTCTTCCTTTCAAAACACGGTCCCCATCTAGTATCCGCAATGTCTTCGATAAAGTAGATACAATTGCCTCTCACTCCAGGAACATCTCGGCTAGATATACGTAGACCGGTTGCTTCCAATGAACAGAACATAATCACACAGACCTTTTCCATAGCGCTTGAAGACAAGATGAATTTTTCATAAATTTATTTGGGCAAGGATATAGGGGAGAACTCCAGTATAGTGGAGATTAGAGGGAGTCGGATTTTGGGATTGAGTGATGGTATTGAGCAGTATCATCTCCAATCGGTCGTTGATGGTGGCCAACCAACCGTCGATTGAGCCCATGCAGAGTCAGTGGCGGACTGGAGGATCGCCAAGAAGGAAGGAGGAAGGAGAAGGAGACGAGGAAGAGAGTCGCTGGTGGATACCGTGCAGAGTCGGCGACGGGCTAGAGGATCGCTAGGGAGGAAGGAGGAAGAAGGATGAGGGAGAAGAGGATGCCGACGGCGACGGGCTAGAGGATCGCTAGGGAGGAAGGAGGAAGAAGGATGAGGGAGAAGAGGATGCCGAAGGAGAAGGAGAAGAGGATGAGGAAAGAGAAGGAGAAGGAGAAGAGGGGTAAATTTGGGTTTTTAGGTCAAATATGGGCTAATCATGAGCTAGAGGGCTAAGTCACATTTTTTTTCAAATTTTGAAAGCTACAACATATTGCAAAAAATATGAGGGGCTGGTGCACATTGAATTTTGAAATTTGGGGCCTTGACACAATTTTTCGATGATTTCAAACTGGTGCTGAGCAAAACGGACCGAAAATGAAAAGGGCAAATTTCATTAAACTCCTAATAAGTTTGAAACTTTGAGACCCAACCCCCAAAAGTTTGAAACTCTCACTAAACCCCTAATAAGCTTGTGAATTCCTTAAAACCCCAAAAATGTTTTAATTTTTTTTCACTTAATCCCCAATAACTACTTCATGATATTTATGTGGAGAACACTTCCTATCAGAACAATGCATCATGAGAGGCAATCTGAACCACAATAAGAGTGTAATTACATAAATACCCCTCCTACACTCTTAACATAAGGGTCAGAGCTCCCCACATAGTAGGATGAGTACTGGTTTATGTGATCTATGTTTCAAAACTCAAAATATGGATTACGCCATTAATGGAATTAAGTGAAAAAAAATCTAAATATTTTGGAGGTTTTATTGAATTCACGAACTTATTAGGGGTTTAGTAAAATTTTCCCAGAAAATCATGTAATGGGTCCTTGGTAATAAAACTATATAGAGCGGAAGGAACAAGTTTGAGATTCGACTTCTGAATCAATTTTAAAGTTCTGATTGTACTATATATAATGCGATTGCGTTGAAGTTGTGTAATAATTGCAGTTATTTCAAGTTCTGATTGTACTAATTTTTTCATTTTACAATGATTCAAAATTATTTGTTTGAAATATCCCTCCTATCATTCAATCCTCATGACTAAATCATTTTTTAACCTCGTGGGCAAATGATACCTAGTAAGAAAGTAGAATAAAGATCTGGCTTCCGTTAAAGACCAAAGCAAAAAACAAAAGGCTGTCATTCTCCAAAAGTCACGGAGAAGAACAAAAGCTTGGCCACATTCCTTCTACCACATAAAGCTCTCAAGCAAAGCAACAACTTATAAACAAAAAGGTTCATAGAGAATAACAAAAGCAATCATGAAACCAAGATCACAAATTTTACCTCCGAGAGCTTACTTTTTCCTAACACTTCTATCACAATATTTTCTTCAACGTGCAGAATTTATACTCTCAATACAAATCCACCATTTTTACAAGCAATTTTCACAAGTGTAAAAGACATGATAATGATGATCAAGTGGCACCCTTTAGTATCTCAACGATGCTAGACTTCTGCTCCGAACTCAACTGAGTAGGAAACACAATCTGAAACTTTATTCTCAAATCTCCTCTCTGCCCCTTCTCATTAGCTATCGGCATCCCTTGGCCTTGAATCACCTTCTCATAGCCTGGGTATATGATTTCATCATGAAGAGAAAATGTCATCTTTTCACCATTTAGATGTCGAAAAGAGAATGTCCATCCTGTTAAGGCATTGACAAGGGGGATCTCGACTTTAAGCACTAAGTTGTTGCCTGATCTCTTGAATGTTGGGTGCTCTTTTTCTGTGACTAAGAAGATGATATCAGATGGAAGGAAGCCTGGACGCTCATCCCCCATTCCTTCGAATGTGATCTTTGTCCCCTTCTTCCATCCCGGTTTCACTTTGATTGTCTCTGATTCTTCCCTTCGGATAGTAAACCTAATGTTCAGAAAAGTTAGAAATTTAGACAGGTTTGATTTGTTATTCAATTATAGATAGAAATAAGTGTGTTCTTTAGAATAAAAGAAGCACAATATGCACATATTTGTTAGATGAAGATACGTTCTTTGTTGTATATCAATATTTCAGAAAACCACACAAACTCCCAATATTATTTTCAGAAACCCTTCGTGAAGTTTTGATTAAGTTTCAGAAAACCCCGCATTACGCTGTTATGAGGTATGTTATGGCATGTTTGGAAAGCCCAAAAAGTTTTGGGGCTTAAATGACTTTTCCAAAAGTTTTGGGAATAAAGCAGATCAATCATTGAAGGGTTTTGTAAAACTTTATCCGATAGGAAATGTCTTCTACTTATAAATAAGATAAAAATGATGAAACTTAAACTTTCTTACACCATCAAAGAAGAATTCATGTCATGAAAAGGCTAATTTGAATGGAATCAAAGAGAACCTAAGGACTATACTTCGAATATCAGATATTAAAAAAATAGGAGGGAAATGATGCCATCCTCTATGAGAGCACATACAAGTTGTTGCTACTTTGTAGTCACCACCATCACATGCTTATAAAACCAACCTATCACTCATAGTACCACTTCCGTGGACAAGACACCAAGAAAAATAGCCAAAACTTTGATTAGTCCATACATGAATTCTCCAGAAGAGCACCTCGTAACTTCCACTATAAGAACTAAATCTTTTGCATTGGGATCATCTCTTCATTCATTTCTCTCTATCTCTCTCCTCTCTTATAGAGTGCCCAAGGGCACTCTATAGAAAAACCGATCTTTTAATAGTTATAAATATAAACAGTTATCTAGGAATAAATTGGCTTTTACTGTCTAAGGCCGGCTAACTCTCATGAACTTTGGCTTCAGTGGTAAACAAAGATGACATGGACAAAATTAGTCATATAAGAAAAGGTCTATGATGGTGACAATGAAGAAAAAATAGCCAGGTCATTTTCCCAACATGTTTTAAATTGAAAGTGCCATTCATGCAAATATCTGGATAAGGGCTGTCATTATGATGAGTTAAGTATTTTCCGTTAGATTCCTTCAAGGACAATTCATGGCATGAGTTTCTAACAGAACTTATTCGTAAGCAAAGTCCTTAAAATGATGACATTTGTATCGAGAGTATTAATTAGGTAAGAAGTAAGGAATTCTATAATTGTTTCAGTGTTATTGTTGACCTTTATACACTTCAAAACTAGCAGACTTCTTTTAAATTATTCAAAGTTGTTGCCACCATCAAATGTATGGGGGAAGAACATGAGAAAATGCAACATCAAGAAAAATGTTTAGAAACAAGATGAAAGTATCTGAAACTTGGTTGTGGATGTAAATTATAATTGCGTGTAAAACTTCCTTGGAAGAATCTCAAAAAAAGGTCAAAGTATTATTAAGTAAAGAGAGGACTCTGAAAATATTATTGACCACATCAATGTTTTAGATAAAATTCCTCCAACAAGTAACACACTTAAGAAGTAAATTAAGTGTACAACCACAATTCTCTGACCATACGTACCAAATTTAAGAAGAATAGAATGCAAAACAATCAAACAATATAAACTCCAATTCATTCCCATTTATACCAAATTTCTATTTCTGAAGTGCTTCAAGATATCCAATTATATTCAAAAAGATACATTATCCAGCCATTATGATCATATTAAGAGCTGAAAAAAAGGCTTGAGATAAAAGAAAGATAATTACCCATTCTTCCCAACAACTTCTCGACTGAACTTAATCTCCTTTAAACATCCTCGACAGAGCTCCTCCAATGTGCACTCGAGCTTTCTCTCCTCTGGTGGTGGCTTCCTTCGAAGCTGACCGGAAAAAGATTTAGGCCAAGGGGGCTGCGAATTTGCTGCTGTTGTTGCTGCCGGTCCCTTTGAGTAATAAAAATCCTTAAGATCTCTCCCGGGAGTCCTTGTATAATTCGGTGTTGCAAATGGTTTGCTTGAGTAATTAAAATCTTTAAAATTTGTTGAATTTGCTCTTGGATAAGCAAAATCCTTGAAATTTCGTCCTGGAGTACTAGCATATTTGGGGACTGGCTCCTCCCGCTTTTTCTCTGGCTTCAGGCTGCCTCCACCCTTGTAAAGGTCATGAAGTGCCTAAAGGGGAAAAAATAAATAAATACAGAATAAGAAAATTTGGATTAACTGGTTGCCTAATTTGGAATTTCAATGGCAAATATTTGGCATAATACAATGAGTAGTGTACTGTAAATAGCGTCAGAATTTGATTCCCTCTGTAATTTGTTCATTAATCGTTTGTAAAAGTTATTCTTAAGAGAATGCAAAAAAATGTTGTAACAAAATGGACTCAGAACAGAATTATGCTCATCAATATGGATGCTGAGTAAGGAATTAAGTGCATGCAAATATAGAAAGGAAGCGAAAAAAAAGAAAAAAAAAAGAAAAGGAGTAATGGGTTTTAACAAAAGACATCAAAATTACATTTTTAATCTCGAACTTTTACGAAAAACGCGTCTACAGGCTACATAAAATTGGAATTTAACATTAAAAAAGGGACAAAAAAGGCGTCAACATTAATGGACGTCAAGATCGCATTTTGGAAATAAATTTGAGTATGAAGAACAATTGGGTATCCAGAAATAGCATCAATTCTGATTTTGACGATGTTGGGTTTTGATGGATACCTCATAAGCTTGAGTAATGGCTTTGAACTTGGCCTCAGCTTCAAGCTTAGATGAAGGAGGGTGCTTATCTGGATGCCATTTCTTGGCGAGTATTTTATAGGCGTTTCGGATTTCTTCAGGGGTAGAATTTTTTGGGATGTTGAGGACTTCATAGAAATCTAGAGCGCTTCCCATTGAGTTGGTTCTAAGAGATAGAAAATGTTTCGATTTGAAATGAAGATGAAATAAGTTTATGAGAGAGAAAGTAGTTGAAATTCAATAGGGAGAATTGTGAGTAGGAGAGAGAGAGAGAGAGAGAGAGAGAGGGAGGGAGGGGAGGAGAGAGTCTTTATTTTTATTCTGGGAGGAGACAGCTTGCTTTTTTATCTTGTTTTGAGATGGAGGAGAAAGCAATGTTGGGTCCTTCAGCTTCGTAGGAGTAATTGACGTTTATAATCATAATTGTTCTAATGCAAACAAATATAGAAATAATAATAATGGTTTTATAAGGGATGACAATGGGTTGGATCCTTAAAGATCCAGTAAAAAATCTATTATAAATCTGTAGGACTTGTTTGTTGATAACATTTGTGTAAAAAAAAAAGTAATGTTACATTTGACCATACAGTCCAATACTTAATGGGATTCGAAATCTTTAAGTAAATCTATATTCCTTTTATTTTTTCCATTTTATTAGTAATTAAAAATAAATTATTAAAGTTTTCTTATTCCTGTTATTTTAATTTCTAATTTGATTTCTTTAGAACAATGTACATACCATGTACTTCAATTCTATACGAATTACATTCGGAACAAGATTCTCTAACTTGACTAACAAAGTAAGAAAATCAGAAAAATATAATTACTTACAAATAGACCCTAAAGATTGATTGATAGGAATTTCATCCGTAATTTATTGGAAGATTAAGAGAAGAGCCGTGAATTTATATAGAGCTTACCTAAGAGGTTGAACTTTTGATGTAATTTTGCTCACTTCTTCCTAATAAATTCAAATAAAATCAAGAATTATATATTGTTTCTATTGTTGGTAATTAGAAGACATGTCCTACTTAGCACTAAATATATGACAATATATATTGAGGGATTGATTGAAGATTTTATCATTTTTTTCAGCTCCAAATAATTTAATTATGGCAATGAATGAATTGTAATTGATCTACTTGTTAGCCAAGTTAATTAGTTCTATGATGGAGATTCTATCATATAGGCTAACTAGATACCTATATCCAACCTTATCCCTCTAAGAGAGAGCAAAGCTTTATACGAGCAACGCAAGTTTCTTTTAGCTAATTGTGCTACGGAAAAGAATGTAAAGCACAAGTATTGATGATTAATTCACATCTAAGATAAGTATAGAATAATATCCTCTCATAAATAGAACATTTCATTTTTTTTATGTTTCATTCCCCCCCCCCCACCCACCCACACACACCCACCCACACACACCCCAAACCCAATAATTTGAAGAGATCAAGAGAAATAACCTATCATATGTCTCATGCATTATGTCTCACGTGAAAAGGAAAGGAACGATCTACACATACTTTTGTGGATGCATTATGGAGATTTGGTTGAGGGGTCGCTTTAGCGGACAAATAGAACAACAAATTGAAAATTACAAAAGAGATACCACAACTACCACTTAGTCACAACGTTGGAGATAGACCCTCATTTTTATCTCTTATAGCCTAGGACCATAGAATCCTACCTAATAGTCTCTTACGTATGTACGGAGCCCAAATTATATTATCTTTGTATCATTATTCTCCCATAATAGTTGAGTAGTCATCTACCAAGAGTAGAGTCTATTGCGCCCACCATCTTGCTATACTATACAGTACTTTTAATTATTGATACTTTAGTCTTTTAAAACATGCAACGGAGAGGGTACTTTTTATTTATTTTTTATTTACTTCATCGGAAAATGAACACTTCCTAGTAAGACAAGTACCCTTCCAAATTAGCTCTAGTGTGAGTGTGAATCTCAAGGCACACAAGATTGCCTCTAGATTAGACGAGAGTAGAAGTTTTCTAATCATTTCTCACGTAAGACTTTGGAAATTAATGAAAGGATTAAAAAAACGAGTTGTAGTAATGAGTGTCTCATATGATGCTAGTCACTTATAAGATAAATCATAATCAATCAATTTGTTGTTGGTTAAAATCATCATAGAAGCCTGAAATACACCCTTTTGTACCATGAGTGTATAATCGCATAGATTTTTTAAACAGTTTTGTTAGCACTTACTTTTAGGATTTTTAGATCTCACAAAAACCTCAAAAAATCAGCAAACGCAGCAAATAGAATCATACGAGATTTAACGTGAAAAACCCATAACAGGAAAAAACCATGGGATTAAAAATCAATCCACTATCACCTCCAAATTACCATCTTTTGAACGGATAAAGACTGCGAAACCATCTCCCAATGTTGTAATCTTTTACACGGATAAAGACCACGAAACCCTCTCCTCTTGCACAATATTCTTGAATTAGGCTACACACTCTGCTAACCCTATATTACAAGAATATTGGTTATCTCTCCTCTGATTGGTTTTTCCTCCAACAATAGAAGGATATATATAGGAAAACCAAAACCCTATCTTTAGCCTAACTTCCTAATTGGAATAGGATTCTTCAAACTCCTAGTCATGATGAAATCCAATCTCCTAATCATGATAAATTTCTAACCCTATCTAATTCTTATGAAGTTATACAAAGAATCAAAGATACAATCCTAACAATCTCCACCTTGGATTTTATTCCCAAACTCCCTTGAAGATGTATCATCATCGTCATGAAACTTTGCCTCTCCTGCTAGAATCTTTTATTTCTTTCGCACTTCAAATCGAAGCACTTGCACTCCAACTAGATGCCCCTATGACTCTCACTTTCATCTGTCTCGCTGTGGCTCCTCCACCACTCTTGTGCGTACCAAGAGATCTTCGCCACCTCTGACATTAGAAGCAAAGCAACTATGCTTCTCCTCCCAAACTAAACTTCACAGTAGCATTCCCTCACTTGTTGTCCTCGTACTTCACCTGCATCGCTCGTTTCGAATCATATCGATGCATCTCTCCTACTCCACACTACGAGCCGGATGCCTCTATCACCTTCATCACTTGGCTTGGACCGAATATGAGCGCTCATCGTCTTCAAGTCCAATGCCACCATCTTCATCTCCCTGTATGTCACTCGGTCGTGCCTGCTTGCAAGCTTCACCTAATCTGACACTGTCCTCCTCGAGTCTGTAGGCATATAAAATTGCTTATAGGTCCCTTAGCTCAGCTCGGCACGAACCGACAAACCAACGAGGCGACGAGATCGACGAATCGCACGCAAGCAACAGAATACATCCATTCGCGTGCGGGATCAAGCCAAGTGTTCGAAGAGTCAACGAGTCATCCAACCGAGAGCGGACTCGAACGAATCACGATCGAATCAAGATCGGTTTCGGACTCGAACTCAGAAGTGGATTTACTGCCAAATCAGGAATCCGACTTACTGCCAAATCAGGAATCAAATCAGAGTCTGGATCAACCGAATCACGGACAGAACCAAAGGCGGAAAACACCAAAACCACCACCTAGAGGGGCTCGGCCGAAGCCGAGCCAACTTCAGGTGGCTCGGCCCAAGCCGAGCCACCTCAAGGTGGCTCGGCCAAGGCCGAGCCACCGCGAAACGGAACACACCCGGGGACTCGGCCTAAACCGAGCCAACCCGGGGTGGCTCGGCCCAAGCCGAGCCACCCCAGGGTGGCTCGGCCAAGGCCGAGCCACCCCCTGGGGTGGCCGAGCCACCTCAGGGTGGCTCGGCATGAGCCGAGCCACCTTGAGGTGGCCGGCCACCTTGAGCTGGCCACACGTGCACACGGGCACGGGCACAGTAACGAGAGCCTATAAATAGGCCAAGGGGTTCTTCATTTCAAAAGGTTGGAAATTTTGGAGAGAGGCGAAGCCCTGCTGGATTGGAGACTCGGAACTTAAAAAAGATTGAAACTTTGGGACTTCGGGGACTCACTCCTTCAGATCTGGTGCTCGGCGATCATCAACGTCAAATAAGGCAGGTGTTCGAGAGGATCAGATCTCAGATCTACGCAGGCATACTCCGGATCTAAGCTTGGTCTTAGATCCCGAGACTTGGACGATTGTTTCCTTGGTGAAACAATCCTCCCCGGCTATTATTTCCTTGGTGAAATAATACCCGTCGTACTGCGTAGATCCGACCGGATCTAGATCTCGCGGTGGTCCACGGCAAACAACCCCGGCGCAGGCAAAGAACCCACAAAGCGAGCGACCGCAAAACAGGAGCTCGCGATTCGTTCGACACAAAAGGAGAAAAGTTGTAATCTTTGTTTATTTTTATTTGATTTTCGTTGTAACCGGATCTTATAAAAAGACCGGATCTTTTGTAACTCAAAAAGTTGTAACTCAAGATGACAATGGAATCAATAACAAAGAAAGACACGAATTTTCCAGCGAACAATCTGGCGACCACAGTGGGAGCCACCGATCTCGCTGCCGAGATCGGAGCGTCGCAGCCGCGGATCTTGATCCCAGTCGTGGAGGAGGTCGAATACGAGTTCGATCAGACCAAGTTCGAGGAATACCTTTCATCCTCGTCTAGATCAACCTCCCCCCGCAAGTCCAAGAAGTCCAAGTTCTCTTCCAACAGAAAGGTGCGTTGGTACGAAGAAGTTGAAGCTACCAACGACGACCTCATCTCGATTGACGCCAAAGTTGCGTCAGATGAGGCTCCACCAATCTCCAACCAGATCAAGCTGGTTCCAACCAATTCCTCCGTCACCAAAGGAGCGGTGACTCTCTCAAAGAGAGCCCGCCAAAGGCAACGCCAACGCTTGGCCAAACAATTCGCCAAAGCGATGGAGTCCACCGACGGAGTCCGCTACAACGCGGATCTGAAGAACAAGAGAGGCAAACAGCCTCAGCAACAAATGAACGGCGCCCCTTCCAAGTCGCCAATGATGGAATGGATCCGTGTCAAACGGAATCGTTCGACGCTGGAAGAACGCATCCGCAAACGCCGCGCACTATCAGCGCAGGCACGGGCTCAAGCCGAAGAAGCCCGTAGAAAGTTGCAGAAAGAAGTGGCCAAGAAGCCGCCACCAACTCGCAAAGTTTGGAGGCCAAAGTCTGAAGCGGCAATTCAGGCTAAGGAGCAACCTTTGCAGCCTCCAACCAAAATTCAACCTCCGGCGAACCCAGCTAAGTCGCCGAGAATTCCCATAGCTACTCCGGGAGATCATGCAGAATCCTCCCGAAGAAGAAAGCCAGTCTTGGAGCGCCTCGGTCCAATTCCCGATGAGCGAA